GCGTTCTGGTTGGTCGCTCTTTGGCTATAATCAATTGCGAGTAACTAACTGTTCGAATTTCGCTAAATGTACTTGTCCTAATGCTCATACAGGGTGTTAAGCCGACCGGTGTGCTAATTTACCATTTCATCTCAAATATTAAAATATGTTTGTATATACATTAGGGTGGCCCTTATAAGGGCTTTTTTATTTATACTTTACCCTTCAGCTTTGTACCAATACAAGGAAAGTTAGCTCTTCAGAAATCAGTCCAGTTCAGAAGCCCATAAAAAGTTCTAGCAAAAAATTAATTGCTGGATTTATATATTCCAGGTATTGAACACAGTCGGGACACATAGCGATTTATTTCGCCGAGAAGAGGGAATGTTCAAAGTACAAACTTATTTCAGCAATACTTTTCCTCTTAAAAAAAAGCAAAGTGTATAAGAAAATATTGAATCTAAACAAAAAAAAAAAAAAATAAATGAATTTGCCACAGAAATGTATGATATCCACAAGGATTTTAAGGATAAACATTTCAAAGCACACTTTCACATCTTTATAAAGGGATAGTTACAAACACAAAGCACTTTAAAGTTCCCTTTAAATTTTTTTCATTTAATTTATTTCTGCAAGTGAGATAAAAAACAGAAAAATAAATATTTTTTTGTTTAATTTTAATGGGCCGAAAAAGAAGAAAACATTTTTTATGCAAATGGACTAAACTGAGACGTATCACTCATAAATTAAAATCAAAAACTAAGAGCTATTATAATGTACATGGCTTTGTACATATACATATGTATTTGGCGGCGCTCAATGAAGCGTTTAATAGACGTGGAAAAGGTAAATGCGCATGTGTGACCGAATGTACGAAGGCGTTGAAAGGTCTATGAGCCTAAAAGTGAGTGCGTGTCTCTTTTGTTGTTGTTTGTAAAAATGCAAGGGATGTTGCACAGGACACACCATAAGGCGTGCGCATTAAAGTTGCCAATGCTATTATTATGACCAATTGATGAACAGGTGTCGCTGCGTAGGACTTGAACGTAAACAATTTCCAATGATTCCAGTGGCGACTGGAATGTTAATTCAAAATTTATATGTATGTATTCCAGGATTACATATTATGTATATTTAGGTTTTGAAATTTATTGTACATAATGTTTGTAAAACTATTTGGTTTATAAAAACAAAATTTATACATACATACATACATATGTATATTACTCCATTACGTAAAGAAATTACATGCCCTTATTACATACAGTGATGGTAAAAACTCTTTGTTGATATGGGTTCTACCTAGCCCGTTCATTCTTGGTAGGTTGATTTTTTTATATATACATATATATGTAACACGTGTCCGATATATATATATATCTGTGTTCGTATGGAATAGTAGCTTATGTCGAAATGCTGGCTTTAAAGAACTTTTGGCAAATAAACGTGCAAGAAATAGTTCCGATACTGGCAAGTCAATATGCATGAGCGTAGCCAGGTAGGGGCAGGGGGGGTGCTCGAGCCTAACTTTCAAATTTTCCTATATACATATATATAAAATAGTACCCTNAGCTTCCAGAAAGGTACTGTCACGCCACCCTATTATATAACTGTCATTTTTAAAAAGGCAAAAGCTAAAATGCCCAAATTTGATATTTAGAATTTCCTTATAACAAGGAATTGTAAACTGACAAAAAGGGAATTAAATTTTTTTTTTTGAATTATGGGCGTGGCAAATATCGATAAGAAAGTCAAGTTGGGTCCAAAAAATTCCGTTATAAGTTCAATATTTCTCGTTCTATTTACAAAAATGGGGTACCATTGGAAAGGTAAGAAATCAAGCATTCTGTGTTCAAAGGCGTAAATACAATTTTTTTTCTCGTTCGGGATCAAATGCAAGTGAATTACTAGCAGAAAGTAAAATTCCTAGTAGGCCTGAAAAAAAGGAAATTTCATCAAAATCAGAACTTTCCAGCAGCTAAAATTGTATTGTTTAAAGTCTAAGAGGAGTGGCAAATAAACTGAGATACAAACTTTATCAAATAATCGCGGATAACGAGTTTGCGGGTCTAATGAAAATTACTAAAATCCCAAAAATGTATGTATATTCATTAAAAAGAACATATCTAAAAATAAAAAAATAGATCACATAACATCAACAACTTAAACATTGAGATTCAGTTTCAAATATTTATATAAGTTTAAATATTATTGTGCTTGGTAATCTTCCAAATCAAATCCCGTGCCGCCCTAAACTTTGATTTAAATTTTGTAATTGTTATTGCTTCGTCTTTATCTAAAAACATGTTTGACGTTGTTTTGAAATTCGGCGATATAAAATAATTTAATTAATATTTTCTAGAATATGGAAATAATACACTCTGCGTCGAGAACCTCTGGAAAAGTGTACTCTGGTTTCTGGTTAAATAAATATTTTCTCTTAATTTTCTCGGTTCGTGTTATTATTCCAATTGAGATTATAAAGAAGTTTCTACGATGCCTACAGATATTAGCACAGATAAAAAAAATATATATATAAATATATATGACAACGAATAATGACATTTACCGCCCTATTCCCACACGGCTGACAAAACTCAGTGGCCGTACTACTGCGCCTAATACTATGCCGCAAATTTATTTTAAGCTGTCGTATGACAATTGTCAGTTTTATTGTTATGACCTACTGAGTAAGTGACAACGGCGAAACAATGTTTATATTATGTTTTAGGCGCAGTAATTGTGACAATAATCATATGATGAATTTTGTCAGTGTTGTGGGAATAGGGCGGTTAGTGTGTGATACGTTCAGTGTTGCCGTTGTGCGCCTAAAGGGGCAATTTGACCCTTTTTAACCGCCAATACCCTTACACTGGATACGTTTAATACGTCACAAACTTTATTTGAAATACTTATGTACATACATATGTAGCTTGAATGATAAACTTGTTCCGGGCATTTTTTTTAATACTCCGCAAGGCAAATGTTCTTATTGTTTTTGGTTGATTTGAGTTAATTGAATTTTACTGAGCGGGGAAAGTACCGAAATCTCTAAATAATTTATGATCGTTATGGCGAACAGTATTTTTTATAACTTCAAGATAGATACTGTTAACTGGTTTAAAGTGCATTAAGGCATAAGAAAAGAAATTGTATACATATATGTACGTACAGATGTATATACATATGCACATACATGCACATTTGATCAATTCACAGTACGGCATAGCTTAACCAATTACCTCAGAGAAATTAATTTGTTTCTTGTTATGTAGCAACTAACTTTTTGCGAACTACTTACTTGAAGAAAATGGCTATAAGAAGTTTTTTACTCTCCTGTACAATTTTTAAATTGGGACTTAGCAACTTTTCATTCTACATATTTACATATGTATGTATAAATTAATGTTAGTATTTTTATGACCCAAATTTTTGTGTAGTTTATATGTATATTCAAACTTTAAAACCGTTTTTCTCGACTTTGTTTTTTTTTTGAGCTATGCCACTATTGAAGTAAATGAGCGGTATGAGTATTATATTGCGTATTAAGAAATAATTTAATAATATAGAGGTAGTATTTACCAGTAGGCGGTATAATCAACATGATCGATCATCGAAACAGGTTTCCACTTGTGACGTTTCAAAGCAAAACAAATTCGCAAAAACGCTGGTACATGTTAAATGTATGTAGATATGCGTATATGTATGTACATTAGGGTACCCATCGAAAATGTTATTTTTGGAAATTTCGAGACCCTACCCCTATACCCTATATTTTTATAGATTTTTTAAAGGTCATTTAGAGGTCGCGACCTGTCGATTTAGGTCAGAAAATAGGATTTTGTAGATCTATGAGTTTTTGAATGACTATTTTTGATTCGATTTCAAAGATCGAATATGATCTGAGAAGAGGATATATAGGCCTTTAAAATGGTTTATAATAATCTATTGTCGGACTAGGCTTGATGGGATTTTTTATCGAGTAAATTAAAAAAATACCCATATTTCTCTTAATTTTTTAAAATTTGATCATCGATAATTTCTACAATTTCAAAATTGAATTTAGTTTTAAATAAACTGATAGCTCACTTTTTGGTATCGCATAAAAATTTATATTTATTTAATTTATATGTGCGTATGCACCGGAATTTCACATTTATTGAGCAGTGTGGCTAAGGAGTTCATCAATATTTATTAAAAATTGATATATACAATCGCTCTTTAGCAAAAAAGGGGTTTTTTTCAAGAAATTATATGAAATTGGGGGTGCCACCGCCCACTTATATGATATATGCGTATCTCAAAAACTACTTGACCGATCTTGACCAAATTTGTTATACACATTGTGCTTCGCCTCCTTAAGTACCGTCTTCAATATTTTTGAAATCGAACAAAACCTACTCCCCCTAAAATATAGCTAGCTTTGAGTTTTTTGAAATTACCGTTACGTTGGTGGAGCCCGTAACTTTTTTAACAATGGTA